CCTTGTGTAAAAGAGATAATAATTATTGGCTTCCCAGTGTTCTGAGGGATCACTGAGATGATGTTCATAAAGCACCTATCACAGTGCCGGGAACACAGTATATATTTGATAAATGGTGGCTAATAAAAAGTGGAATAAAGAATACAACACCAATAACTATAAAAACAAAGTCTTCAAGATGTCAGTAATAAAGCTAGTTAGTAATAAAGCTAGTTTATCAAATTCCAAAGTCTGTGCTTTTCAATTCCTTGAGGAGTGGTCTATACTCATCTGTCTGGTTTCCTTCACTTTGCTTAAAAGACTAGCTATCTGCTCCTTATTTTTATTAAGAATAAACAAAACAAAACAAAACATTAACCAGTTTTGATTCAATTTGTTCAGGGGAAAATATCTTGAAGAGTAAAAACAAACCAAAGGATCAAACCTGTAATTCATTAATATCTGTCCTTCACATTATATATTATACAATATATATTTTGAAAAATAGCGGCTTACTATTTTATCTGAGTGATATGTACTACATTTTTACAAGCCTGTGGAGTGAACTGTTACAAAGACTAAAATAACACCGATATTGTATTTGCTTAAACAGATGTTTTTTTTTTTTTGGGGGGGGGTTGTTTGTTTGCATTTCTACTTGCACAGATTATGGAATTCAAGTGTCAAGAATTCACTGAGAAGTATTTTCAATATTGGTGGGGGAAAGAAAATTCCTAGCCAGTGTACAAATTCACTATTTTTTTAACCTGAAAAATGCTTCCACTACTCATTTTTAAACATTCTGAGGAAAATATTAGCAGTACTGGGAGACTTCTCTGCAGTGGTGCTTTTAGCCACTAAAATATGACAGATATTCCAGCGTCCCTTGTCATTTCGGTGAAATTGTACTTTTGGTTTACTCAATAAAGCTGAGCTTCTCAATAAAGCTGGGCTCAACACCTGAAATCCTTTAAACTACCTTTTAAAGCCACAAAGCCTCCAATTATCTACCGATCTTGGTATTTCTCTTAGTAAATGTAGAACCATAATGGTGCACACCATCATTCCGCTGGAGAAAATGGATAGGCCATTCTCTATGCTGGTATAATAAAGACTTCTATCACAAAGAATAAACAACTAAATGAGCAGCAATAAACTTAATTTGCACATTAGATATGCTTTTCCAAGTTCCGACATTTCAGTTGAAAATAGTGCTAAAGCAATGAGGCCTATAATTGAACATCCAAAACTTCTCCAGTGGGGAAACAAAAACAAATGTTGCCTGCAAACAAGATCATTTTTATAGCCTGCTGTTACCCTGCTTTTTAATAATTTTTCAAATGCCAGATCAAATAATTTCCTGTTTTATGTGATCTTCATATACCTCTTAGTGTATGTATACACTGTCATTTTAATCCAACTCCTCCAAAACGAAAGCACTTAAACTCTCTCTCTCTCTTTTTGATTTCCTGTTTGTGCCTATGGAACATGTCCTCAGATTACACTGGGCAACTTCTGAGGCTCTGGTGAGGCTGCTGCTAATTACACTCCCAATGTTTGAATGGAAAATTGCTTTATCCTGCTGCATGAGTGAAAGAGAAATCTCTGACATACAGTGCAGATAACTTCAGAATCCTCTTAACACAGATAAGCCATATCAGCTAAAAAACTAAGCTGGAAAATATCTTACTCTTGTAACTATTATCTTTTTACATGTTATCTAACAACAACATTTCTTGCATGACTGAGGCTGATAAGTAAATTCAAAGAGAGATGATTGTTTTATCAGCTTTGCTGAAATTTCTCATTTGCTCCTTACCACCCTATTACCAGGAAGGTCACTATATGCTGATTTTGGTGTGAGAAATAAAATTATATTTGACTCTGTAATGACAATCAGATGAACATTACAGACTAGAAAATACAAACACACACATACACACAAATCTCAAATCATCTTAAACAATCAGATGACTACCCTCAATAGTCAAGAAAATGGTTGAATCAATGCGTAATACTACCGTTCTTTCTCAGATTAAAGCTTCAAATTTATAGGTTGTAAAATAATAATTTTTTGTCAGTAATAACTTGAACATTCCCACTTGAAAGAGAATGAGAGGATATGCTAATGACAGACTTATCTTAGACCTGTATTTACATAGCAATCCCATAGTGTAATCAAAATTATACCATACAGATCAATAAAAAAATAAAAATTTCTAAAGATGCTTTTATTTGTACTGTATACATTTTGTGTTTATGTAGTTACTTTTAAATGTATGTATTTGTGTTACTATGTATGTATGTGTTTCTTTGTGTGTGGTTCTTGTCCATGGCAAGAAAGCAAATAGATTCCCCTTAAAACATAATGTGGGTATTTCATGAAGGTTAAAAATAACAAACACAATTTCCTTCTCATTATTAGATACAAATGAGTGAACATTACTTGATATTCATGCATGTTGATATATGTTTTTTTGCATATGTAGATGATTCTCTTCTTTGTGCTGAAAATACTGGAATAGTGAGTTCTCTCCATGAAGTCGTAGGATTTTCACATAGCCCCACACTTGCTCCCCAGTGAAGAGCAAGGAGTTCTCTATGTATTAGAAATACATGACTACAAACCCTAAAATAGGGTAAGTGAAAGCACTTAGAAGTTCATTATTACCCTTTGATGCTCTTTATTGCAAAGTATCCTAAGCTTTACTCCTAAAAAACAGAAAGTTTTCATATTTTAGAGCAAGGGAGTCAGAATGGAAATTATCTAAGAATGAAAGAGTGTAAGATAAAATCATTTCACTTAATAGATAATTATCTATTGAACACATACAGTTCTCAGGACATTCCTGCCTTCTTTATGCTTCTTTCTAAAGGAAGGAAAGATGGAGAGAGGACCACAGACATAACAAATAAGTGAATTATAGGGTATGTAAGAAAATGAAAAATGCTACAGAGGAAGGAAGAATGCAAAAAAATTAAGGTGACCAGGAATGCAGACTAGGATCATTTTTGTTCCAAGAGACCCAGCAAAAGAACACTAGAAACAAACAAAACTAAGTAAAATTTTTGTGTTTTGTTTTGTTTTAAACTGAGCAACCTTATTTAATTTCTCCCTTGTACAGAGAGTGGAATACTTGGGGATTATGGTGTATTTAATGGACTGTTCCAAATTACAGACGAAATTGTTTGTATCCTAAGAACTTGGAACCTATCTAGCAAAAAACATGGCTGTTACATATGTGAAATACCCAAATGCTCCCTTGAGAAGTAAGCACAGTTCAGATGCTCCAGAGTTCCTCAAATTTACCTGAGTCCGCTCCTTTTACTGTTCTCCCACTCAGCACTCAAGGACAGCGTCATGATGCCAAATGTTTGAAATGTGATGAAGAGAAACTATTCATTCAGTCCAATATATCCATTAGCTTCCCTCCCCCCCCCCCCCCCCTTATTCTCTGAGATGAAGGGTTCTCGATCACTGTATTGTAGAAGCAAAACCATCGGTCTACCTCATGGATCACCAGTGTTCTACGGAAACTTTCACTGAGAAACTACATTTCTACTGCTCATATCCTGTATCATTTACATTTTACATCTGAATTCCCTCTGGATTTCTCCATATTTGGGAAAATTAACTATGATGTTGCCCTCTACCATATCTTAACCTTCTACTGTGATAAAATGAATGTATACCATGTACAACTTCTTAATTTGAAACAGGGTAATGAATCTCCTCTTTTTTCCCTTAATGGACATATCATTTCTTTAAACATAAAGCATTTATACATTTCAGTAAATTATTATTACCAAATATTTCCTGGAGAGATAGCCTATCATTAGATAGAGCGATAGCATAGCCCTTGAAATGTTAAGTCCATCTCTGTCTTAAAAACCTGATGACAATACAATCTTAAGGAAGTCAAGTTTTTAAAAACATGTGACACTGGTTAGATTTTGACACAAGTTATATCAATCACATTTCCCCTGAGTGTTTCAGACAATTGTCAGCAAGTATAATGTAATATGCTTAAGACAATGTTGGCAGAAATATCTTCCAGGGATAAAGGTAGGTATTTTTTTTTTCCTTGAGACATTTTAAGGGATAGTTGAAGTGTAGTAGCTAACTACTTTTAATTTAATATATTTATTTTTAATAGAAATGATGACAGAGCACCAATTGCTGAATGTAATTATTTGGGCTTAATTAGCTGCTCAAACTACTTTCTCAAGACAGTCATTTTAATCATCCAGGAGGCAAGGAAATGATAAAAGTGACATAGCTTCCAGTAAACATACGAGTTTTATGAACTGAGATTCAACAAAGTAAAGTGGCAAAGATGGGGAATAGATACTTGAATACTAATTATGTCCCTCGGTGATATATGGAGGTACATTTGGATTGACAGTGGCTTCAAAGTCTGAAGAATGGAGAATGCAGTTTTCTCATCACAAATTAAGTGAGCTTATATGTTAACTGTGTTGGGAATATAATAATGACTTTTACAGACACAGATATTTTAATTTCATTCTCTTTGAAACAAACTACTTATAAAGTGTATGCAAGAGAGTCTGCATTTCACCAGCTCTGCACCTAGAGTTATATAAATAAATGAACTGGTTATGTATTTGGCAATCATATATCCAGGTAAAAATTCCACGTAAAATGAGAGCTTCTGAAGGAAAGTGAACCAAGAAAAATATTATCAACTGACTTTATCAAAATGTCCATAGCTTCCTACAATAAGGCATTTATGAAAATTCAAATGTTTTAGGTGCAGTTGTTAATTCTGTTTAATTACTCACTGACAGCATTTCAACTGCCAAAGTATTCACATCTACCACGTATCTCACTGGCAACGTAAACATACTATTAATGAATATGAGAACACAACTCTTAAATAAATTGTGAAATCAAATATTTTACATATACACTATGATACAGGTTTGACACTATGATAGAGACTGTGATATGCATACATATCTCCAATGTTCATCAAGCACGAATGAAGATAATAAAATACCTTTTACGACTAGGCTGCCAGTGTTCTTTGCGATGCCAAACTGATTTGTAGCTGTGCAAGTGTATGATCCGGCATCTGACCTGGTAACATTATATATCTTGAGGCTGCCATCGTCTGAGAGAAACACTCTAAAAATAAAATGCAAAATTAACAGAAGTAAGGCACTTAAAACTAAGTCTTAAGCGTTTACTTTCATTTTAAAACATTACTAAAACCACGGACATATTCCTTTCCTTTATTCTATTCTTGCCTGTGAGCATCTCTGAATCTCCAAAGTAGAATAAATGACATTTGCTTTTAGTCTGACACAGTGTTGTTAATTATACTATCACTTGAATTATCACTGTTGATTTTGATGCCTATTAAAAATAAAATGGATACTTGATACTACAATGCCCATTTGCTTGATTAATAACAAATTCACTGAACATTTTGAGAAGTCACCTCCCTGGTGAAAATTGAACCTGATGTTAGAGAAATGCAAGCTAATTTTCATATTGTTTAGTTGTGGCTTCATAAACCAGTTCTTGTTTAGCACTTTCAGTCACCAAACAATGGAGTTCTCAATGACAGTGTTTGCCACAACTAGCGAGTTGGAGGAACCATCGACATGGTTCCAAAGCCAAAGGGCACAGGCTTACCCTGTTATGCAGCTGTCGCATAGAAAAAGGTAAGAGCATAAAAATAATGAAGTCTTCATGAATCAGACTGAACTAAATGGTCCTAAAACACATGCCATCATACAGTACATTATGAAGGGACAGCAGTTTAAGAAGCTCTAATCTTTCATAAAATGATTCTTAAGTTTTCTCTGAAACTCAGAAATAATCAAAAGCAAATATCAGACCACTGTTGTAATCAGGGAAACCCCAAGATTGGTCTTGACAGAATCACCATTAAATATTTTAATAAGCAGAAAAAAAAACTGAGAAAAATTAAAGCATGTGACCAATTTTATGTCTTAAATTTAAACAACTTAAAAAAATAGCTCTTAAAACATTAGTAGGTAGCCACAGTTGTACAAAAATAAGTGATGAAGGCTAATTTGTAACAACAATAATTTTAAAAGAAATACAGACATGACCATTGGCAAGCATGCTGTATCTATAAAAAATACCAAACAGTATTTGTTTAACTGCAAACCTATCATTGTGTCTAATATGTGTATCACACAAAATGTAGCTAATATAATTAACTGTCCACTTTGAAACCTAGAGAATATCAGCCAACTACAATTTTTAGGAAGCCAGGTTCTGATGTCAGGTTTATTATTAGTGATGTGTTCCACATTCTGCCATCAAGTGGGTAGCAGGGGCCACTTCTGGGTTTAGAATGTTCCACGGCATATAATCAGATTTTTGTTTAAGTCATTATCTTGGAGTGCTTCCCAACAGCAGACATTTGATATCTCATTTATTTTCTGAAATGTCTAAGATTTCTTGATCACAGTTTACACTAACAATGGAATCATACCATTAATGACATAGTGGTAAATCTATTCTACTATGCAGCAAACTCCTGTCCAAATATAATTCTGTGTCTGATTTAATTAGGAGAGGTCAGTGTGAGAAGCATTTGAGTACATCACTTACTTCTAGTATTTAGGAAAAACTAGGATTTTTCAACAACATAGCAATGTTAAATTTTGGCCAATAAAACAATTTAAGTGATATAAAATATATATATGCTGATATCTAAACACCATCATCCAAATTTCCAAGCTAGAAATGCCAATGTTTATATGTCATATAATTTTTCACATAGCTTTCAGAAAAGGACAATTCATATAAAAAGTGGTTTAGTATTACCCTGAGTCCACTACCCTTTTCAGGCTCATGGTAAATGTTCAATAATGTTTGTTAAATTGAATTGAAATTGTCATCATTGAAATTGATTATTTTTATTGAAATCTTTTTTATTAATATTATTTTAATGTTTATTTATTTTTGAGAGAGAGAGAGAGAGAAAGAGTGCGAGTAGGGGTGGACCAGAGGGAAAGGGAGACACAAAATCTGAAGCAGGCTCCAGGCTCTGAGCTGTCAGCACAGAGCCCGACTCAGGGCTTGACTTCACAAACCATGAGATCATGACCTGAGCCAAGTTGGAGGCTTAACCAAGTTTCTGTGAAATCTTAATCAGTGAACCAATATTTCTCAACAGCCTAGACTGTTTGAAAGAATAAGAATGAAGACTAGGAAAAATTACTATCTGCCCAAAATTAAATAGCTCTTAAGTATTAGAGAATGAATTGAAAGTTATATCTAATTATCTGTAGCACACATCCTCTATTCAGAAGCATCCATAGTAATTTGCAGTAAACAAATTCTCCACGTTTTTTTTTTTTTCTCATTCTGCTTGTTAATTATGACGTTCAAGAAATTCCTGTTGAGTCATCATTAGATGCCCTTAGAAGAGTCATATTGTGTTTGCTTCTCAAATTTGTTTTCATCCCAGACCTCCTGAATCAAACCTTGCATTTTAACAAGATATTCACTGATCGGTCCACAATAACGTTTGAGAAGCAGTGATCAATCAATTATAAGTTAAACTTTAGTCTGTAAAGATTATCTTTATTTCTAAGAAACCATACTTTGTTTATAAGAGCAATATGCAAAACTGTATAAAAATAAAAAAAATGTTAAATCTAGATATTTTATAAAAGTAACCAAACTAGTAACCGCACTGATTTATCACTTATTAAAAACAGATGATTAAAAAATCATTCAGTAGCAATCTAAGATATAAAAAGACAGAGATTTAACTAGAACTGGAAATCGTATAACACACTAAATAGTATGAGTATTTCAACTTATTTCATTTTTTCAAACAATGAGAAGTTAAAATACAGTAAGAAAACTTAATCTATAATAATATAGATGGAATCAACCCACATAATCAGAGCCCTAATTTTATGCAGAATAATTGAACCAAAAATAGTAAAGAAAAGTGAGAATTTCCAGCTCTATTACATATTAAAATATGGCTTACCAGAAATGATTAAAAGAGAGAAAGAAAGAAAGACCCAACTAAGATCAAACTGTACTAAACAGTTGACATTTTCAGATAAGGAAGAATGCACCCATAAAAATTAACTGTAACATTTTAATTCATGGTTTTGGTAATATTCATAGAGAAAGATAAAGTTTGAATTTTTCTATTCTGCTTTTAGAATATTCTGGAAGATAGTTTAAAATGGTATCTGGAGGGTTGGAAAAGACATATTAATAAAATACAATAAAATATTCTACCTTGATTTCATATAAGCATCTCTAGTGTTTAAAACAAAACACAGCCACAAGTAAGGTAAGCTTAAGTATCAAAAAAGTGATAAAATATTCTAGTAATAAAAATAAAGATTTTTCGCATAATTAGCCAAGAGAATATAGTTATAGAGAAGGAAGCATAAGGCAATAAATTGATTTACTATATAATATATATATTTATATTCATATTAGGACTTACTGTAGAAATTATACTGCTAATAGACAATAAAAGCATAACTGAAAATATGTGAGCATCATTTAATGTGGTACAGCTTCTGAAAATTCATTAGTAATTTACAAACAGAATAGAGAGTCCAGAAACAAACCCACGATTATATGCTCAATTAATCCATGACAACAGAAGCAAGAATATGCAATGAGAAAAAGACAGTCTCTCCAACAACTGGTGCTGGGAAAACTGGATGGCTACATGCAAAAGAATGAAACTAGACCACTTCCTTACACCATACACAAAAATAAACTCAAAATGGACTAAAGACTTAAATGTAAGACCTAAAACCATGAAACTCCTAGAAGAAAATATTAGCCGTAGAAATATTCTTTTAGATATGTCTCCTCTGGAAAGGGACACAAAAGCAAAGTTAGACTACTGACTAGACCAAAATAAAAAGCTTTTGCACAGCAAAGGAAACCACCAACAAAATGACATATCAACTTACTGAATGGCAGAAGATATTTGCAAAAAATATAATCCAATAAGTGGTGAAAACCCAACATATATAAAGACGTTATACAACTCAACACTTCCCACAAAAAGATAATCCAATTTAAAAATGAACAGAGGACCAGAATAAACATTTTTCCAAAGAAGATACACAGGAGGCAACAGAAACATGACAAGATGCTCAACATCACTAATCATCAGGGAAATGTAAATCAAAACCACAATGAGATATCACCTCACACCTGTTCCTAATGGCTAACATCAAAAAGACAAGAAATAACAAGGGTGGGAAATAACAAGTGTTGGTAAGGATGTGGAGAAAAAGAAACCTTCGCACTGTTACTGGGAATGCAGACTGGTACAGCCACTTTGGAAAACCATATGGAAGTTCTTCAAGAAATTAAAAATATAATTATCATATGACCCAGTAATTCTTCTACTAGGTATTTACCCAAAGGAAAAAAAAGCACAAATTCAAACAGATATATGCACACTTATATTTATTCCAGCATTACTTCTTTTTTTAAAAAATGTATGTGTGTGTGTGTGTGTGTGTGTGTGTGTGTGTGTGTGTGTGTGTGCGTGTTGAGAGAAAGAGAGAGAGACAGGGTAAGAGCAGGGGAGGGGCAGAGAGTGAGGGAGACACAGGATCTGAAACAGACTCCAGGCTCTGAGCTGTCAGCACAGAGCCCAACACAAGGCTCGAACTTGTGAACCATGAGATTATGACCTGAGCCAAAGTCAGACACATAACCAAGTCACCCAGGCACCCCACAGCATTACTTCTGATAGCCAAGATAGGGAAGCAACCCAAGTATCCATCCATAGAAGAATGGATAAATAATGTGTAGTATGTATTACTCAATGGAATATTACTCAGCCAGAAAAAAAAGAATGAGATCTCGCCATTTGCAACAATAGGGCTGGACCTTCAGGATACAATACTAAGTGAAATATATAGTGTAAGACAAATACCATATGATTTCACTCATATGTGGAATCTAAGAAGTGAAACAAAGAAAGAAAGAGACAAAAAAAAGTCTTAAATACAGAGAACAAACTGGTGGTTGCCAGAGGGGAGGCAAGTGGGGGTGGGTGAAATAGATAAAGGGAAATAACAAAGAAACTCTAATACCAATTTAAATATACAAATAGAAATGGAGCAATGCTAAGACTTTAT